CGCCTTAGTACTTATCCGAGTACGGCCTATTCTGAATCAGAAATTTTGAAAAGGTCATGCATTCATCAACTGAGAAAAGTTTGAGAAGTTTTTTTTAAGGGTTATAGAATTGGCGAGGGATGAAAAAGAAAATTCTGCTAAGTTTAGATATAGAGATGTTCTTTGACAGAAAAAGAATACCGATACCGAAAATATATTGTCAATGATAAAACTATGAAAAACCATTTTTGTTTACTATTGTAATTAATTTAATTTTTTTTGTATTCTTACATTACAGTAAAAATGTGTGGTGATTAGTGACCGTTAGTCGATAATTATTCAGATTCGTGAGATGCGGTCTGGTGTGATGTAGGTTTCAGAAAAACATTTTCTTTATCGTGCCAACGTTTCGATCTTTATTGAGATCATCTTCAGGGCTCAAAGTTTCTGCGTAAGTGTGCCATTCTTGCTTGGTGTGACACTCTCAACACGACACGCAAGAATGGCACACTTACGCAGAAAACAAACACTTTGAGCTCTGAAGATGATCTCAATAAAGATCGAAACGTTGGCACGATAAAGAAAATGTTTTTCTGAAACCTACATCACACCAGACCGCATCTCACGATATCTGAATAATCACAGTAAAACTCAATGCTACTAGAATTAAATTATTTGTTTTGCAAAAATTCAAGCATATTTAAATAAAAAACCTTTCTTTTGGATAAAAATATTCAAGTTATCTATTTGCAATTAATTCCTGTAAAAAATTTAGACTCCCGTTATACGCGGGGAATATTTACGAAGCATCACCGCGGTTATTTGAAAACACCACGGATTTTTCAGATTTCTAAGTATCTGCATACCAATCAGGCACAATCTGGACATGTACATATATCAGCAGGTTTGCCCATGATCGAAACAAACGAAACAAAATTATCAGGGGCTTAAAAAAAGATAAATTCCACAGTTAGAAGTACATTGTGATGAATCAGCCAAGTTCAAATTTTTAGTTTTCTCAAAGAATGTTGTTATATTAGGCTGCTTTATCTAGGTTTTGGAACTGCTGGACGTTTTGTTTTTGCCGAGAAAATTACACGAAAATCGTTGTTAGTTATTGGACTATAGAATTAAATAGGACATTGGCAATATCATTAGAAAATTAATTATTATTAAAAATAGACGGTATGAAACATGTGAACATGTTTAATATTAGGTCAGCGATGAGACAATTTTTGTTTGATTTTATGTGGTTGAAAAGAACCTTAAGTTTATTTAATCCGATTTTGTCGAGCAGAAGAGTTTTTTTAAAAAAACCCTGTTTGGTTGGCTTTGTATACTAATTATGTTTACCTTTATTATAAACAGGTTCACACGTTATAAACATTAATTTCTAATGATATTTTCCTACTTTACTTCTATAGTGCAATATCGCCAAGAAAAAAATTTTCCAGCAATTTTCTCAGTTGAAAAGTTCCTTTTGGCCTGTGTCGGGCTTGTGTTTTACAAAACAAACCAAAAAGGATTTTATTTCAAATTAAGCTTTCGGCTCGAGATAATTGGATTAAATAAAATTCAACTTGTATTCAACCACTCAAAATTGATCATAAATTGGATCGTAGATGAAGCCAGCCGAAACGGGTCTGACGGACCAAGATAGTAGCGAAAGGCAGACGAAAATGATCAAAAACGACCAAATTACAAAAAAAATTGTTAAGATCAATTCCGCTTCATTTCCTTTCTTTCCCATACGCCGGTGAACATTTGCTTTTTTGACTAGTATCTTTTTTTACCTTTTTTGAGTAATAAAAAATTAGCTAACGTATATGCATAATATGTAAACTAAGTTAAAAACTACCGACTGTGCTGTGCAAGATTTTTTTGACAAAAGTATCACGGATTTGTTTATAAAAGTAATAAAAGAAAATATGAAGATGGGTTTCGGCATTTTGCCATCTTCAGTGAGTGTCAGGCGAAACGGTCTGACAGGCCAACCTAGAGGGGTTAGACAAAATGATCAAAAACGACCAAATTATGTCAACAGTAGGTGATATATTTTATTAATTGAAAGTCTTCTCAGGTTTTTTATTTGAGTACGTTTCGATGCATCACCAAGTGAACTCTTCAGCCCTAAAAGCCTTGTGATGGTGATGAGGATACTAGGAAGCGGGGTCCGCAGGCACTGCAGCCTTCTGGTCTATTGTACCTTGTAGTTCCTTAGTTCAGTGCAATAGACTCAATCCTTCTCCTTAGAATATCAGGTCATTGACTGTCGCTGCTACAATTTGATTCCTTAAGTTTTTTCTATATGTTAGGTTAAATCTCCATTGAGCTGTTGCTTAGCATTCGAAGATGATATGGGTGGCTGTTTCCTCCTCCTCATTACGTAATCTGCAGATGGGATCATCGTTGTATTTCCCATGTTGTGTAGATGTTTTCTCAGATGCCAGTGACCGGTTAGCAGTCCTATCACTCCTCTAGCCATCTTCAACTGCAGCAGTGTGTTTGTTTGGTTGAGGGCTGTTTTAACAAAAGTTACTGTGTCTGCGCCGCTAGGGTTTATCTACTTCTCCTTTTGTTTTCTTTGGATTCATTCTTCGATGGAGGATTGTGTACGTGTTTTTGTTATCCCAAGTTTAGGTTCGCGGCCTATTTATGGTTTTGCAGATCTTCCTCTTCCAGTGTGTCTGCTTTTCGTTACCCAAAATTCCTCTGTGACTTGGCACCCAAGATATCATCAGGTTGTCGTGTTTCCCTAGGTTTTAGATATTTTGGATGCATACACTGACTAATTTTGATGTGATTTTTTTACTGTTGCTTTAATAGCTGGTTGGCTATCAGATCTTATGAGAATTTTTTTGCCAGTGTAACTTCTTTTAAAATTTTCCAGGGCACAAGCATTTCTGCTAGAAAAGCCAAGTGTACTTCCCGAATGAATTTGACTGCTTATACCTTTGGCCTGTACAAAAAATACCCGATCCGGTTCCTTCGTCTGTTTTCGAGCCATCTGTATATCATATCATTGTATCTGATGCTCTCTTATGTTCTTCCTCTCCTTTGCAGTCCGTTGGGATGTTGTAAAAAATGTTTCCGGGATCATATAGTCAGTCTCAAGAAAGGGTGTCTGATTTAGTTAATTATAATTGTATGCCCGAATTGTTTAGTTACTATCCAATTTGAATATTTTTGGACCCTAAATGAGCTATTCCTAGCCTCTCCTTGTATAAATGTTTCCAGTGGAGGTAGGTTTAGCAGAGTTTCTAGTGCACTTGGTCTCCTTGACCCTGTGATACATAGGTTTGCTAATCTTTATATTCTGTCTATTGATTGAGTAGCTACTTCTTGTTGAGCTTTGTTCCACCAGATTAATCACACCGAGTAGTTACGGTTCATTCTAAATTTTCTAATACACTGACAGGCAAAAAATTCCACCCAATTGATGTTTTTCATTTTCTCGATAAAAGAAAATTCTGCCATAATTTGTCTCATTGTTTTTATCAAAATATATTTGTTTATGCTGTTTTAAATTGGGAATATCAATTAGAGGTAAACAGACTTAATCCTTAAGCCAAAACTAGGATGAAGGAGTTTTTGATGTTGACTTTTTACGGAATTGAAAATGTTTATTCATTTTCATTAATGTGAAGCAATAAACTGTTAGTTTTAATTTTTGTTTTCTTAATTTCAATTTTATATTTAAAAATGCCACTTAGTGCTGAAGATGTTGCGTATGGTGTGGCACTTATTGATGATGGTTCTATCAGATATGCGGCTATTGCCAGGTCCTTACAAAACACTGCAAAATGCTGTTAGACGTTTTCTAGCAACTGGGTCCTAACATAAAAGGCTGACTGGACGCCCTAGGGTATGAGAACCACAGGATGTCGGTTTTTTGACTGAGAATTTTGCCAAACCGGTGAGGAAGAAGACCAGAATTGACCTGAGTTGCACGGATCCCATTTGCTCTGGAATACATCCATTGGACTTTGAACGAACGACTTCGAACTCCACAGATGAGCGTGAAAGAGTGTGAAGAAGGCGAAATGAAAGGTACGAAGCCTGTAATTTTCCTCGGAGCCAACCTTTTCAACGTAGCTCAGTGATGGTGAGGGTGGGAATTTGAATGAAGAGTCGCACAGAGTTGGTTGTGGAGGGTCTTTGACGGCCACTCGCTATGTGGATGAAATTTTGGAACATGACGCGTTGCCTATCCCCGAAATCAGCTACAAAATCCTATTCTAATGCACGACAATGCCCGTCCACATGTCGCTCGCATAGTACAAACGTACCTTGAACAGCATAACATCAGGGTCTTAGCCTGGCCAGCCCGTTTTCCAGACTTGAATCCCATCGAACATTTATGAAATAACCTCAAAAGACGAATAAGAGCATCACTTCCTGATACATTCTACGATCTTGAGAGGACTTTTCGAGAAGAATGAGCAAACCTCCAGCAAAGAGACATTTCCAGACTGGTAGAAAGTATGCTGAGGCGTCATCGAAATGTAATTGAGGCAAGAGGCAGATACGTGCTATTGAAATGTTAATTAAAAATCTACAACAAAATTAAAACAAATTTTATCTGTCCATTTTTTATGTTTTTTCCATTTTCCTTAGCAATTTACATTTTTGTTTACTTTTTTAGACAAAATCTCAATCATTAAACGTTGAAAACTTGAAACTTTGATTAATATATAAAAATATATAGAAATCCAGTTATATTACAAGTGGGCGGAATTTTTTGCCTGTCAGTGTAGTTGTACTTATGAAACCAATATCATTATAAAATTTAAATTTTTATCAAAATAAAATACAAAATACATACAAATCTACACAAGTTAACAATAAGACAAAAGCTTGTTTAAGGTATGTGATCAGTGGTCAGATACCGGATATGCGCGTTGATAATTTGATCAGAAAACATAAACATTGGACTTAATTCGGTTCTTATGGGAATGAGTAAGTTATGAAATGAAAAATTATGCGAGTGCAGATTAGTTATTGACAAAATAGTTAATTACCTTCATATCTAGCAATTGTAAAGGTGCCGTGGCTGAAACTAACATGAGTCGGCTTTGTCGGGTCTCGGTGACTGGGCACAGAACTAGGTTTCGACTCCTGGAAACCAGTCCGGAAGAGTGTAAAACCGGTGGAAAACGGGCAACACCATCCACGGGCGAGATGTGGGAAAAGACTGCTCCTCCTGGGCCACTTCCGAGAATCGGTATCCGCAGTGGGTCGGAGGGGCGCCGGGGGTCGGAGGCGTTCCTGGAGGCGCCTGGAGGGGATTCCGGGCCGCTCCATTGGACGGCGCCCGCTCCGCCTCGATCCACCGCGTCGAAAAAGGGGTTGCACGAGTAACGCCTCACCCTCCTCAGCAACCCGCACTACGTAAACAACCCTTGTTTGCACTGCACACTGATTTCAAACACCCTCCATTGTTACAGACTCTCGACGGTTCGAATCGGCTTCCGTTCTACAACAAAAAAGAGGAAAGAGCGACAATTACATTTACTAAACAACCACCCCGATCCAACTCACCCTTATGTTAGAAAATAGAAAAAACATTCTGTTTTTTGTTGTTTTATCTTGCTCATTTTATACAAATTATTTGTTGTAAAAATTGTTAAAATGTTGTTTATACACTGTCAAGCAAAAAATTCCACCCACTTGTTATATAACTTGATTTGTACATATTTTTATTTATTAATCAAAGTTTCAAGTTTTTCAACGTTTAATAATTGACACTTGTTCTAAAAAAGAAAAAAATGTAAATTGCTAAGAAAAATGAAAAAAATATATAAAAAACGGAAATTTTTTTAAAAATTTTGTTGTAAATTTTTAATTAACATTTCAATATTTCTTCCTCTTGCCGTAATTACATTTCGATGACGCCTCAGCATACTTTCTACCAGTCTGGAAATGTCTCTTTGCTGGAGGTTAGCCCACTCTTCACGAAGAGTCCTTTCAGGATCGTGGAGTGTATCAGGACGTGCTCTTATTCGTCTTTTGAGGTTATCCCTTGTTCCATGGGGTTCAAGTCTGGAGAACGGGCTGGCCAGGCTAAGACCCTGATGTTATGCTCTTCAAGGTACGTTTGTACTATGCGAGCGACATGTGGACGGGCATTATCGCGCATTAGAATAGGATTGTCGCCGATTTCATCGAGGACGCATGATGTTCCAAAATTTCATCCACATAGCGAGTGGCCGTCAAAGACCCTCCACGAATAACAACCACTGTGACTCTCCATAGAAATTCCCGCCCTCACCATCAGTGAGTACGTTGAAAAGGTTGGCTCTGGGAAAAATTTCAGGCTTCATATCTCGATCAAATCTACACTCATCTGTAGAAAGTACAGCAGACCAATCGTCCAAAGTCCAATGGCTGTGTTCCCGAGCAAATGCGAGCCGTGCTCTGGTCAATTCTGGTCTTCTTACGGGGCGAAAAGCCATCATACTGATTTAATCTTCTTCGAGCAGTGCGTTCAGAAATTTGGACAACTCGAACTTCCTGGAGCTGATGAATCGCTTGAGTAAGATGCGGGTTTCGCAAAGTTCTGTCAAAAAACGATCATCCTGTGGTTCTGTTACCCTAGGGCGTCCAGAACCGGGCCTTTTATGGTAGCACACAGTTGCTAGAAAATATCTATCGGGTCTCGCAGAGTTTCGTAGGGAACTCCGATGGCAATAGCCGCATACCAGATGGAACGTACATCATCAATAAGTGCCACACCATGCGCAACATCCTCAGTACTAAGTTGCATTTTTAAGTTTAAAAATTGAAATTAAGAAAACAAATATGAAAACTAAACAGTTTATTGTTTCAGAATTCAAATGAAATAAAATAAATGAAATAAACATTTTCAATTCCTTAAAAAGTAAACATCAAAAACACCTTTATCCTTGTTTTGGACTAGAGATTAAGCGCATTTACCTCCAATTGCTATTCCCAATTTAAAACATAGCATAAACAAATATTTGTCGGTAAAAACAATGAGACAAATTAAGTGCAGAATTTTCTTTTATCGAGAAAATGGAAAAAAAAATCAATTGGCTGGAATTTTTTGCCTGTCAGTGTATTTGCCAAGTGATGAGCTAAATCAGATCATCACATGCGAACTACTCAGAAATTAATTGATCATGATTAATTGAATTAATTGATAATATGATTAATTAATCATATTTGTAATTTTTAGGTTTTAGGGTTAATTTGGAATTAAAATAGGTTAATTTGAAGTTACAAAAGATTAAGTTAAAATGGAAAAAGGTTAAATTGTAGTTATAAAATATTAAGTTGAAATTATAATAGGTTAAATTAAAATTAAAAAGTGTGAATTTGAAAGTACGAAGGGTAATTGGGTGGGAAAATGGGTTAATTTGACTGATAAGGCTATTCCTCTTATCAATTTTATATGCTTTTGATATTGTTTAAGATTTGAAAATTTTTGATTTTTTTATATAAAAAATAATTGAGCTCTTAGATAATTGATTCGACATTTGTTAAAATATAAAATAATTGGTCTATAAAATAGAGTACAAATAGTTATTTTATATTTCTAAAAAATCTTCAATTATAGAAGAACTGTTTCTTTTTATAATTAATTTTAATTTCAGTGCAATTACGATCCAAATAATAATTCAGTTTTAAGAGAGCAATTATTTTATATTTAAAACTTTTTAAAACTATTTTATATTCAAAAATAGCAAATATTTACTTGACATACTTATATTTCATATCATCTCCTAAGTTGAACGTTAACATTGAAAAGGATAATTTCAAGTTAAAAAAGAGCCCACCCTTTTATATACATAAAAAAAAAAAAATCAAAATTCAGCAAACATGCAGGATTTTTATTTTTCAAGCCTGTATTACCGACCATCTCCTATGCTTTTTTAATGCTTTAAAGAAAGTGTTAATTTAAAGTTAATAAGGGTAAATTTGAAGTTACAAAATATTTAGTAGAAATTAAAAAAAGGTTAATTTGAAGTAAAAAACGGTTAATTTGGAATTAAAATAGGTATTAGAAATAAAACAAAAATATAATTATGTCAATATATTGAGGATTTTGAAGCGTAAAAAATAATGGACAATAAATCTTATTACCCTGATTGTTCAGTTGCCAATTCTCTCTGGTTTAGATCATCCTATCTGTTTTTTAATGTTTTTATTCGTACCCTGTACATTTACATAGTACAAATGTGATCACAATGTTTTTTTCACACTAACACTAAGGCCAGCGCAACAGCCCGCGGGCACATGCTACGAGAAACCAGTCTGTGCCGTTTCCAGCTGTAGTGTTAGGATGGAATGAATTTTGAGGTCGTTGTGGATAGTGGAGTTAGTGGCATAGTAAAGAGCTTTGACAATTGGTAGGACTTTTGATTGGAAGAATCGCGCTCGTGCTGTTTACTGCTGTCCTATCTGAGAACCAGCATACCCCACGACGATCTACTCAACCTAAGCGGACGGTACTGAAAGTTTGTTTTATAACACAAATCCTGTCGTTTTTTCATCTTTCGTAGGACACCCTGTAAATGATATAGAGAATGGCACCTAGAATGCTCCCTTGCGAACATTTGTATGGTCAATAAGTGCTTTCCTCGAAAGCCTTGATGGCTGGGTATTATTTTTTCCCCTCAATAACTGGTCTTTTAAGTAGTCTTTCGAATAATTTTGAAAACTGTGGCAGTAGATCAGGCCTGCATGATCTAAGCCTATGCTGTGGTTTATCAGGTTTAGATATCATGATGACCTCAGCGATCTTCCATGTTTATGGCATTTTTGGCACATATTTAAACCGAAGGCTGCATTGATGATTCTCGTCATCTGGACTGCTTTTCTTCTTTCTAGGCAACTCCTTGAGAATCTAATCAGTAATTAGATCTCATACAGGCGCTGTTTCGGAGTTGCTGAGATGATTTAGCTAACTATACTATGCAACTACTTTTATTTCAGGCGTTCGCAGGCCATATCAACATATCACAGCAGAGATCATATCGACCTCCAGGGGGTATTTTTGAAAAAAGGCCCATAAGATGGATAAAGGTGTCTGGAAACTGCGAGAATATTACTGGAATTTGAGTGGAGTCGGACAATAGTCAATAAAACGCAAATATCGGACCAAAATGAATAAAGAATATCAACTGGAACGATAGGATCTTCTTTCCCACACTATTATCAATCACAATCACTATCATTAATATTAATAAATCTAAGTTATAATACAGGGCATCCCATGGGTGTGAAGGTGCTGCTGCTGAAATAATAATCCAATTGTTTGGAAAATATTGTGGTCGAGGTTGTCTGCAGTCTCACCATTTCGCCAAAAGAGGCACATACCACTCAATTTAAAAAATTGCAGAAACCGGCCTGGCAGTTGAGAGATTTTGCATAACATTTTCGCTATTAAACAAACGTTGACGCTATTTTTAAGACTTTTTGCATAACGGAATTTGCCGCTAACGCTAGGTTTCATTGGTAACATTGCACAATATTTTTATTGTGCAATAGTATTGTATGACAACTTGATCCCAATTAATCACGCAATAATATTGACGACATATAAGCGTCAATGTTTTCGCTTGTGCGCAAGAAAAAATATTGTGCAATAAAAATTAAACTCGTTCAAATCTTTGTTCAATCATTGAGCAAACTTCAATACTAGCCCTAAACTGTCAAAAACATTGCGCAATTCGTAATATTGTGCAATATAATTTTAATTATACGTTAACCATATCGATACTCATTATAACTACGCTAAGTTTCCTGGTGAGATTGTAGTAGTTCAGTTTAAAAAATTATCTTACAAGCATATAAACAAAAGCACAGTGATCGGATTTTCTGAATTTCCTCTTAATTGGTGACGATCGTTTGACAAATGCTGAGGATCTGTTTTAATTGTGCTCTAACCTACAAAGAAAACAATGGACGAAAAGTGTCAAAAATTGTGAAAAAAACAAACAAGTTTTTAGATTAAATTAATAATTTTTTGACAAACTAAAATAATACAGTGCATTATTACCTTTATTGTGCAATAGTATTGTATGACAACTTGATCCCAATTTATCACGCAATAATATTGACGACATATAAAGCGGCCCATAGACGGTCAATATTATTGTACAATATAGATTGCACAAAAATTTGACGGTTGCCTCTTAACGTTCAATAATATTGTACAAAATTTTGTTTGTGCAA